GTGCACCATCCCAGACCTACCCCTGTCCCCCCACCCCCTGCACTCACTCTAACCCTCTGTCCAGACCAGGCCACACCTGGCACGATGCTCCAACACCTGGAGACGTGGCCAAGCCCAAAGCCGATGCTGCTAGGACTATCTGAGTCCCCAGAGCAGGTTGCTAAGGTCGGGGCAGGACTTGCCCAGGCCAATTCTGGTGCCTATTTCTCCCATAGAGCCTGGTGCTGGTTGGGGGCTCATAAGTTCTGCTAAGAGCAATAGGTTCCTTTCCAGCCCCTTTCCCATTCACAAGGCCCTCCTGTCCTCCAGCTATCCCTTCCTAGGTCGCTATGTACATGGCCTTCTAATGCCCCCACGCCCTATTCAAGGATCTGCTCTTGTCCACTCAACAAATACAGTAGCCCCAGCAGCCATCCTGCCCCTCTGGACACAGCCAACTGGTCAGGTGTTGACATCCAACCCAGGTGGGCCAGAGTCCATTCCCCAAACTCTGCACCCATGGCCACATTCATTGGAGTCCCACAGGTTTATGGGTACGTGAATGGACACCAGACCAGAGACTGGACAGCATCCTCTCCTTAGAATATGAATTAAAATACTAAGTTCCCAGCCTTATTCTGGCAGGTCTCTTGGAAGAAGCAGATGTGAACCCAGTAACTGTGGTGGCAGCCAGTTTTTCAGCCCAGTGCACTATTAAACTGAGAAGGCAGGTCTGCAGGGAAACCAGGATATAATCCAGGGGAGGGAAATCCAGAAACCCTTCCAGTTCCTGACTGCAGCTGTTTCCTCACCTGGGGCCCCGTAAGACCCCCCTGGATCCTGACAGATGGTGCTCCCTTCTTTGCTCAGGTTATCTTAAGTAGGTGTCTGTTACTTACAACTAGGAGCCCTAGTGCCCACAACTAACCCCTCCAACTTCCATCCTGCAGTTTTCTTCTGGTCCCATCTTCAGATACACAGAAGATGCTGCACGTATGCAGTGTTAAAGTGAAAACATCCCAGTGCAGTCCCGCTGCCTGGAAACTCAGGTCCTCAGACTCAAGGCAGCAGCTTGAGTCACTTGCTACCCACTCTTGCATGAACATAAGCAATAATGGAATCCACCCGCTACCTTTCAATGCTTGTGAATAAACGCATGAAACTCAAGTAAAACCTAGAATTGGTGGGGAAAGAAGAAATGTCAACTACACATGATAAACCAGTAGGATTGGCAGGGGAACACACAACACATTAACAGGCACTTATGGGCAGACCATCGTTTACAGCAGAAAGAGCAGATCTTGGTCCCCTTATGATTCACATCTTCAGTTGTGGTTCAAGAGCTAGTGGTGGAGGTCAAGGACATGGGTCATCCTCAGGAGTCCACCACACCAAGGCATCAGTGGAAATACCATAAGACAGGCAGACACAGGAAAAGTGAAGGGCTCCTGTGACCCCTCAGCCCCTGCCCCCACTGTCTGGGGCGTCCTTTCTCCTGACAGCAAAGGCCGCCCGAAGTCTCTGGGAATTTTACCTAATAATCCCATGTTCTGGCAATAGGCAGACACCAGAAATAACAAAACAACTCTGGATTTACAAATACGACACTCCTGACACCCACACAGGGAGCAGGTCCTGGCTGGGCGCCATGACCCACACCTTCATAGTGACAGCTGTCTGCCAGGAAGGCTGAGTCCTTGGGCAGCTCCTGCCGCACAAGCTTGAAGGTAGGGGCCCTTCTCAACACCCCCACACCAATCCCACCTACTGCCAATGTCCGGCCCCCAAGTCCAGTTAGGCTACAAAAGTGTTTCATGGGGAGCAGATCAACCAAACTGCAACCAACTCTACTAGTTCAATGAGTAGTAAACAATGTCTTCCTCCAAGTATTAACTGCCCTGAGTTCCTTCCAGTCATAATCCCACACAGCCTGTGGCAAGAACTACCAATACATGGAGATCTAAGGCAGGAGACTTCACCCACCTGCTGTGCAGCAGGTAGGTGAGAGAGAACACCTGTCACCTCACCAGAACAGCGGCTCCAGGGGGACCTGAAAATATCCTTATTCTTCCCCGTGTGAGGGTATTGAGCCCGACCAAATAGAGCAGCAGGAATAGGGGCGTCTTCGGGATGAGTGCTAGACAGACGGTACAATGTCTGCTGACCAGAGCTCAACCTCCTGAATGTCAAAACTGTCCTGGCCACTGTCCATCTCCCTGTTTCTAGTACCTTTCAGGTGATGAAAGCCCGGGCCACAGGGGGGATTTTGGAAGGTTGTACATCTGCTCGCACTGTCACAAAACTCCTTTAGAAACAGCTTCTTCGCATCAACTGGGGAAACCGAAATGCCCTTCTCAACCGCAGGTAATTGGCTGGGTTTAGACGCTAGGCGGCACCAGGTGGATGGGCGCCCTGTGCTCCTCACCATGCAGCACAGAGAGGCTTCGAACCGTCAGGAGACAGTCTGGCTCCAACCAATACTAATGCCATCGCCCAGCTAGGTAAGACTGGCTAACAGGGATATTTATGAATGAAATGGACAACATTAGCTATGTAAATAAAATTCAGTACAATTTGGGTAAAACATTTAACTGAAAACTAAGACATGATCCAAACTCACTGCAGGAATTACTCATAAAGACGTTTTAGCCACACAACCTAAAACAGAGAATTAGAATAAAAGCTGAGGTTCTCAATTAAGTAATCTGTCCACCGTATGTAAAGATGAATGTATAAAGAAAAAAACCCCACATATTTCCTCCCGATCTGGCATTCTAATTGTATGGCTGCGAGGAAGACACTGCCACAGCCTCTGAGTCCTTGTGTCTCTTGCAAGGACGCCAAGGAGATCCTTGGAGCAAGAACAGGGAACTTCTTTTCCTTCCTCCCAGAAGTCCTTTCTCTACAGCAGAAGGTGTAACTGGATAAAAAGCTCCAAGGCCCCATCTCAGACTGAAGCCAGGAGAGCCATGGGAGGAGCTTCTGACACAGCTCAGGAGATGAAGGTGTCCAGTCACCTCAGGAAAAGACAGACATGCCCTCTCTTTTTGGAACACGGTAATCGGGCAATGGTTAGTAAAGTCACAAGCCAGAGGCTCCCAACTTTGGACCATCTTCCCATTTTCCTTCATTGATGACACATCTACAAGACCTATCCACCAAACCACATTAAGTGAAACATACAACTTCAATGGGCCAGAATTAGTCAGATGGGTCAGCCTCAGGACTGCAAGCTCCCTGCCTGGGGTGCTGGGGGTGCAGCGGGTGTGGGCCTGGGGCAGGTGCCCAGTGGGGGATCCACGACTGTGGGCGGCAGAGCCATGTGGTACCAGAGCCACCCCCGAGCAGCCTCTCTGTGCCTCAGTCTCATTGTGGAACAGGGCTAATAAAAGTACCTACTTCACTGAAGTGATGTGAGGATTAAATGAGAAAACCCAGGAGAAGCATTCATCACAGTGCCTCGCACATACTAAGGTAAAAAGGTAAAGGTTTGTTGACTCAGTCAGAATTTTTGTCTAGCACATGATAACCATTATTATCACAGTGTATTAATTCCAGTTTTAAAAAATGTCAAAGCTATTTGTGGTGAAGTGTGCTTAGGAGAAGTATCATTAAGAGGCAGATTTTTCAATCAGCTCCTCAAAATTCTAAAACGAGTAAAGACCAATACTACTGCTATATAGACAAGAGCCTGGAAAATAAGACCTGAGCCATAGGTCAAGTCAGCATAAGGAAAAAAGGTCAGTTAACTTCTAAGAGAAAGTTTCTTTAATAAAGCAGGAAAATAGGAATAAACCTATTATTGAAAAGGATACGATAAAGGAATAGAATGTCCAGCTATTAAGCAATTCACTGCTCCTCTTTCACTCCATTCTTACCCTTCCTTATTCTTACCCTGCCTTATAAAGCGCCGTCCCACTGCAGCCCGTGCCAGATCCTGTTAGCCCCTTCTCAAGGGTTCACACACGGTACCAGCTTCTCATCAGACTCTCAGCAGCCACTTTCAATTCCCAGATTTGTTTCTAGAACTGTCTCTCACAGACTCCTTCTGCTGAATCTCTCATATTTATAACCCTTTTTCAGCCCATTTTGATGCTAATCTTTCCTCCACAAAAACAGAAGGAAGTGCCATAGAAACTTCTGGAGAATGGGGTTCTGAGGACACTGCAGTGAACCACACGTGATGAACCAGGGGCAGCCACTCTGAAGACTGTGCTCAGGAAATCAGGTCCCAGGATGTTTAGCATCACCTCGAGCATCAGGTGGGAGGACCACGGGCACTGAGACACCACTGACTAATACAGCTCCCAGGAGGGACAAAAGCATGTTTACAGCATGCAGACAGGGGTCCAAGGCTGACAAACAGCCTGCACGATAACCTACCCATGAAAAGGTGCTTAATGCCGTGTCCCTGCCTCACCTGGAGTCCTGTCCTCTGGCAGCAGGAGGACCTGCCCTCCTCACCAGAGTCTGCTCGGTGCGAGGCCACCCAGTGAAAGGGAACAGCTCCAACCACTCACCTCCTTTCCCTCAGAAGTGGATCTAGAATATACCAACAGAATCTGTAAGCTGTGTCCCAGGTCCCATGCGAGCCTGTGTCTACTTTATGCCTATCCCACCCCTCCAATTCATGGGGTTTTTTGTTTTCAAATTACCCTGTAGGAAACCCCAGTTTACATGAGTCACCTGACTTCCTAGCACCATCTCAACAGTTTGAATCTACACACAAGCCTCACCTCATTCCTTAACAAACTCTACTTATACTCATATGCCTTCTCACCTCTGTGGATTACCGGATGCTGAAAAGGGACAACCCCTTTGAAGTTAAAGGTATCATATCCCTCAAAATAGAACAAAAACATTTTGAAAAGGCCCTACAAACAAACAAATAAGAAAACCCCAACCCAATCACACTCGAAAGTTCAAGGATCTCAGTTACTTTTCCTGAAGCTGAAATAGATGATGAAGAGGAAAGAAAAGAAAGACAGGGGCCAAATGAAACACCTAACTGTACACTAAGGTCTGGTGCTATAAAAACATGATCTAGGAAAGTATATTTAAGTTGCATTCATTTAAAACACTCAAGCAGGGAGCCATCCTCTGGGTCTGAGGGAAGGCATGTTACCTTGGAACATTTACCACATAATTCAGCAGCCTGCCTTCAGTGAGCAGCACATTGGGAGATAGTTTAATTCCTTAAGAGCTGAATTTCCAAAAGGGAAGTCATAAAGTGAGCTTTCTTATCAGTAGAACTCTCCTGCTGTAAAACTGTGAAGAATGTATCAGACAGAGTGAGTCACTCTCCACTATGAACCTTCCGGTGCTGCATGAACGCTGCCTGTGCGCCAAAGAGCTCCCCACACTCGTCACGCCGACAGGTTTGCTCTCCACCGTGGAGTCTGTGAACTTTCTCATGACTAATAAGAGATATTCTCTGGTTGTAAGTTTTCCCACATCTACTACACATGTAAGGTCGCTCTCCACTGTGGATTCTCTGATGTCGAATGAGGTGAGAGCTTTGTCGGAAAGATTTTTGACATTCAGTGCATTTATAGGGCTTCTCTCCAGTGTGAATTCTCTGGTGTTGGATAAGGGACAAGCGTGCACTGAATGATTTCTCACATTCACTGCACATGTAGGGTTTCTCTCCAGTGTGAACCCTCTGATGCTGAATAAACTGTGAATGCTGGCTGAAGGCCTTGCCACACTCACTGCACTCATAAGGCTTCTCGCCAGTGTGAACCCTGAGATGCTGAATGAGGGAGGAGCGGACGTTGAAGGCCTTCCCACAGTCACTACACGTGTAAGGGCTCTCCCCAGTGTGAATTCTTCGATGGCGGATGAGGTGTGCACTCTGACTGAAAGCTTTCCCACAGTCGCTGCACTCATAGGGCTTCTCCCCATTGTGTGTCCTCTCATGCTTAATTAGGGTGGATATCTGTCCAAAGGTTTTCCCACACTCGCCACACTCATAGGGCTTCTCTCCAGTGTGACTCCTCTGGTGCTGGATTAGGTGTGAGCCCTGACTAAAGGCCTTCCCACAGCTGTGGCACTCGTAGGGCTTCTCTCCGTTGTGCACTCTCTGATGCTGGACAAGGGAGGAGAGAACACTGAAGGTTTTGTCACACTCGTTACATTCATAGGGCCTCTTGCCATTGTGTGTCCTTTGATGGTGAATGAGATTAAAACTCTGGCTGAAAGCTTTTCCACACTCATTACACTCATAGGGCTTCTCTCCAGTGTGAATTCGCTGATGCTGAGTAAGGTGTCCCTTTTGACTGAAGGTTTTCCCACACTCATTACACCCATAAGGTTTCTCTCCAGTGTGAATTCTCTGATGCTGGATGAGGGACAGGCGAGCACTGAAGGATTTCCCACACTCATTGCAGATATAAGGCTTCTCTCCAGTGTGAACCCTCTTATGTTGAATAACTTGTGAGTGCTGACTGAAGGATTTTCCACATTCATTACACCTATAGGGTTTCTCTCCAGTGTGGATTCTCTGATGAACAATAAGGGTTCGGTTCAGGCTAAAGAATTTTCCACGTTCGTTACACTCATAGGGCTTTTGTCCTGTGTGAGTTTTCTGATGTTGAATGAGAGACAATCGTGCGCTGAAGGCTTTGCCGCACTCAGCACAGTCATGGGGTTTCTCTCCAGAATGGGTTCTCTTATGCTGAGTGAGGTGTGACTGTCTCCAGAAGGCTTTCCCACACTCCACACACATGTATGGCTTCTCTGCACTATGCACTCTCTGATGATGGATCAGGTTAGAGCTATGACTAAAAGTTTTTCCACACTGACTGCACTCATGGGGCTTCACCCCAGTGTGAACTTTACAATGCTGAATGTAAGACGGACATGTGCTAAGAGCTTTCTCACATTCGTTAGCCTCACAGGGTCTTTCTCCAGTGTAAGTGTTACAGTGCTGCATGGCGTAGGGACGGGCATGCGAAGCTCTGCCACCTTCTTCACACCCGCAGGGCTTCTCTCCACTGTGAATTCTCGGGTGCTGAATGAGAGCTCTGCTCTGACCAAAAGCTATTCCACACACAGCACACTTTTCAAAGGCTTTTTCTGGACTGTTAATCCTCTGGTTCTCACTGAAAACTGAACTCTGCCCGGGCACTTTCACAAACACATCTGCCTGACAGGCTTGTTCTCCTACACAGAAACTTTGGAGGTTAGTGAGGTCCTTACTCGTTTGGAAGTTTTCTACACATGACACACACTGGTGGAGACTTTTTCCTGAAGACAGTCTGCAGTTTCTGACAGAAGTTGCGTCTGCAGCGCAGTTTACCTCAGCTGCACTGAATTTCGGACCTCCTTCCCCCAAGGGGGTTTTCACATGTGTCACTGTCACTGGCCTGAAATTACTCTTCTGGGGGAAATCCTTCTTAAGTCCCTCCACTGCATATTTCCCCCAGCAATTATTTAGCTTTCCCTCAGTTTTAGTCATCTCTTCAAAATCAGATTCCTTAGAAATATTCCTTACATGCTCTTCTAATTTTGTTCTCTGGGATTCCATTTCTTCAGAAATTTCCTGCTTTGGAGTCAATTCTTTTTTTTCCTTCCTAGAGACATGACCTGAAAAAAAAAAAAAAAGAGTTACTCATGTTTTACTATGGGAAATACTTAGAGCATAAATAGAAACATTTATATGAAACAATTATCTCCTAGGAGGATTTGGATTTTCAGAATGCAAAACCAAAAATGACCTTACTGGGAAGAGAAAAGAGAAGGTGAGGAGAGAGAAGCATGCTCTCAGAGCAATGAAAGCTGGTGTGGGAAGGAAGGAGGGAAGGAGGGAGGGAGGGAAGAAACCCAAGGTGAAATGCCTCCATTTCAGATGGGCTAACCAGGCACAGATGCAGCAGGAACCTCGAGGTGTGACCTGAGGGAGAGGCGCCCTCAGAAGGTGAGGAGGGGGGACTTCCCTGGTGGTCCAGTGGTTAGGACTTCACCTTCCAATGCAGGGGGTGAGGGTTCCATCCCTGGTCAGGGAGCTCAGATCCCACATGCCTCAAACCAAAACATAAAACAGAAGCAATATTGTAACAACTTCAATAAAGACTTAAAAAAAAAAAGGTCCACATCAAAAAAAAAAAAAAAAAAAGAAGGCAAGGAGGGAGATGGGGAAGTCAGTGGTGGAGGCTTGGATGGTCAGCACCTACACTGATGTCACTGCTGCACACTCTGTAAAAAAGGCATCTTCCGTGGCTTATACATAACAGGAATTCAAACATTTGTTGAAAAGTAAATGTATCACAAACGATATATAATGAATGAAGGGCATACTGAGTAACACATAATGGGAAAAATTATTTGATGTGGACGACTTGGTTTCACAGAAGTAAATCATGGAAAATAGAAACAAAGAAGCAACCTACCCATTCAAATAGCAGGTATAGCACAAGGCAAAAAAGCCAAATGTGTACAACAGTCCACACCACATGTTCCCAATGGATAAAAGTACCTGAAAATTTGTAAAAACTGTGACACAACTGAATTCTGAGACTCAGTGAAAGGAAATGTACCAAAAACAAAACCACCCAGCCAAAAGCACTGAACAGTGAAAGGAAATGTACCAAAAACAAAACCACCCAGCCAAAAGCACTGAATCATGTGGCTACAAAGACCAGTGGAAGGACAACCTGGTGAGAACTGTGAGAGGGTAGCCTCTCACAGTTTTGAGAGACTGCGAAAGCACAATGGACTCTCTCTTTTGTAAACAGTGGTTATTATTAGAGCTGTCACTTTCAGACTGTTTAGGCAGAACAGAGAGACTGAGCTGAAAATATTAACTGGGTGGGATCTAACACTGGGCTAAGTTGTCTTTGCAGAACTACGCCCAGTACTTCAAAGGGACTGATTTTTACCATTCAAGTCTGAAAGGTAAAAAGCAAACAATACTTCATTCTAGAAACCTAGGAGCAGTCTGAAGGGGCAGGTTGCGGATGGTAAAGGTCCTGAATTCCTGTGGCTCCTGTCAGGAGTATCTGAGGAGTTAAGAGTCGTCAACATCCTGGGACCAGAGTCTAAAAAGATGATCCTTGTCAAGAGGTGCTATTTCACCAGGTAGGAAACAGAATGAAGAATGTGGCAAAAAAAAGAGACCACAGAACAGAGTGATCTATGAGTCAAGAAGCAACGTCTCCGGGACCTCCTTGGTGGTGCAGCAGTTAAGAATCTGCCTGCCGGGGCTTCCCTGGTAGCACAGTGGTTGAGAATCTGCCTGTTAATGCAGGTGACACGGGTTCAAGCCCTGGTCTGGGAGGATCCCACATGCCGCGGAACAACTAGGTCCGTGAGCCACAACTACTGAGCCTGTGCGTCTGGAGCCTGTGCTCCGCAACAAGAAAGGCTGCAATAGTGAGAGGCCTGCACACCACGATGAAGAGCGGCCCCCGCTTGCCACAATTAGAGAAAGCCCTCGCACAGAAACGAAGACCCAACACAGTAAAAATAAATAAATAAATAAACTCCTACCATCACTTATAAAAAAAAAAAAAAGAATCTGCCTGCCAAGGCAGGGGACACGGGTTCGAGCCCTGGTCCAGGAAGATCCCACATGCTGCAGAGCAACTAAGCCCGTGACCCACAACTACTGAGCCTGTGCTCTAGAGCTCGCGAGCCACAGGTACTGAGCCCGCGCACCACAACTACTGAAGCCCATGCGCCTAGAGCCCGTGCTCTGCAACAAAGAGAAGCCACTGCAGTGAGAAGCCCGCGCACCACAACGAAGAGTAGCCACCGCTCACCTCAACTAAAGAAAGCCTGCGTGCAGCAATGAGGACCCAAAGCAGCCAAATAAAAAAAAAAGAAGCAACGGCTCACACCAGTTCACGCTGCTTCAGATGTCAGGGATCCTTGGTTGTCTGTTTGTATTTTAGTTTATTTTTAATTTACTTTTATTATTTTTTTAGTTCTTTTAAAAATTGAATTATAGTTGATGCCTGTTTGTATTTTAAGTTGAGGCAATAAAAAGATACTTGGGAACTCTATGAATGAGGGTATTCATGAATCAGAAGGGCATTTGAATGAGATGGTGGCTACAAGTCCAGGGCACCCCCAAATGCCAAAATTTGCAAGTCTTTACCTAGGGCTATTTGGTTTTTTGAGGCAATTCCTTTGTTTTTGCCCTAGGTAGAAGATATTTTACTGCTGGGTGTTCTTTGTACAGGGTTAGAGGAAGGAGGTGGTAGGATTAGTTGTCTTCTGTATTTAGAATTTTTAGCTGGTATCTCAGGATTCAGGTTTGACCTTTTTTTTTTTTTTTTTAAACCCTTAAAGTTTCTATGAAGAAACTTTTACTCATGAATTGTCTAGTTATCCTGAGTGATAACCCATTTAGTAAAAGCAGAATCAATCCTTGATTCTTTTATTTACTGGTTTTCAGAATAATGAACCAGGTCCCTAACATTCCTCAAAGGGGAACAATGAGTAGGGAATTTTCCCCTGAGTATCAGACCCACCCTAACAAAGCTTAAGACCAACCCCTTAACATGGGAAGGTGATCCAATGGCATTTTATCTGTCTGCCAGAAGGAGACTTGATCCTCTTTCAAGAATGTAACATCATATAAAGCCTCTATAATTTTTAATCTATAATAACTGATACAACTGAATATCAGAAGCCATGTTTTAAAAAAAAAGACTAAACGACAAGAAACCAGGAGAAAAATATACAATTGAAACAAACCCACAGGCAATTCAGATATTATCAAGAACCAGCTTAAAACAAACAAACCATGATTAGTATATGTAAGAAAACAAAGAGATAGAGAATTCACTAGAAATCAAATGAAAACTGAAATTAAGAGTTCAACAGACAAGACAGTACATTGGCAGATAGCAGGTAACAAAACAGAGGATTACGTAACTGAAAGGTGCGTTAAGTAATATCTGAAAAGTATTCAGATTGAAACACAGCAAGGAAAAAAATAGGGCAGGGAATACAGAAAAGAGCATAAGAAGCAGGTGCAACAAGGTGGAAAGTGTAATGTGTATATTCTCAAAATCCCAGGAGGAGAGGAGAAAAGGAATAGAAGAAATAATTTAAGAAATTTTGGCCTAGATTTTCCCACAACTGACAAAAGTCTATAAACTATAGATTCAGAAAGCTCGAAGAACCCTAAGTAATGTCAATGCAAAGAAAACCACACATGGGTATAACATAACCAAACTGCTGAAAACCAAAAAAAGAAATGTTAAAAGCAGCAAGAGGAAAAAGATGTATCACTTTCAAAGCAAAATAAAATCGCAGGCTGACTTTTCGACTTCAGAAGTGGAAGACGGCAGACAGAAGGACATTTTTAATGTACTGCAGAATACAACTGCCAACCTAGAATTCTACATCCAGCAAAAATATTCTTCAAAATTGAAAGTCAGGAAATTCCACTTTGATGACAGTGTAATAAACTCCATGGATCCAAGTCACAGCAAAACAAAGCTGGCAAGAACTATTAAAACAAAACAAAACAAAAAACCCACCCCCAACTAACAACCATTTTAATGTCTCTGGAAATTGTCCCAAGAGCAAAAAGCAAATGAAGAAACGGTTTTTCAAGAAAATCTACTAAAACTTGGCAAGAGCAGCAAGAGTGTGTGGCATGTGAGCCCTAACCCGCCGCACCTCCACCCGCCCAGCTCAGCATGACAGATGCTCTACTCCTCTTGGGTGGGGCCAAGAAGGGGCTCCCTCTCCCTGCAGCTCCCAGGGGAAGCTCCCCACATCTCATCAGGCTAGGCCACTAGCACCTATCATCCCCTCCAACTCCAACCTAAAGAGGGAAATTCCTGGTGAGTGTGGCTGAGAGGGTGGGGGATTCCTTTCTGCATCCAGCCCCCTTGAGTCACAACAAACCTCCAAGACTGACTTTTAAATATACTGCTGCCCAGATTTTACTGGATTGGACTGCTAGGGCATTTTCAAAAACAACAGAGCAATTTTCACTACTCTCATTACTTCGGAAATTCCGAGGGTTTTAGGAGCTCTGTGCCAGAAACGGGATGAGGACCAAATACATACTTCTTATTATAAATCACAATATCACAGATAGAAATGTATTGCACGTGACAAAAACAGCACAAAGGAGGTGGGTAAGAGGAAAGATACACTGGAGTAAGGAAACGACAGCAGATGTAACTTAAATGCACAGGAACAAATGAAGAGAAATGGTAAATAAGAAAGTAGATGATATAACAAACTGTATACATATATGCTGGTCTCATTTCTTCTTTTAGTTTCCACGACAGACATAAAATTATATAAAGTATTATAAGAATGTATTGTTGAATTTGTAACACACACAGATATACAACAATGCACAAAAAGGGAGGAGAGGGACTTCCCTGGTGATCCAGTGGTTAAGAATGGGGGCCCAGGTTCCCTGGGTCAGGGAACTAGATCCCGCATGCTGCAACCAAGACCTGGCACAGCCAAATAAATAAATAAATATTTAAAAACAACAACAAAAAACAAAAAGGAAGGAGAGGAAATGGCGCTCTATAGGAATAACTATTCTATGGTCACTGGAATTGTTAGTATAAACCAGAAGTAGATTCTGATAAGTTAAGATGTACACGGTAAGTTCCAGAGCAACCACTAAGAAAATAACAGTATTAGGTGTGGCCACATAACTGAATTCTCAGCAGTGGAATGTGAGTAGAAGCGACATGGGCAACTTCAAGGTCACAGACAAGGTCATAGACTCCACGGCAGTGAAATGGCCTCCTCCACTCTCTCCTTCTCCCATAGCATAACCCAGTGTTAAACCTGGAGGTGAGTGTTTAGGCATGCCGCTCTAGAGGGTGGCGGAGAAATAAGACAGACGAGCTGGCCTCCTAACAAGCATGTCAAACCGAGAATCCACCAAACAGGGACGCTGTTACACTAGGGAGACAAACTTCTATCTGGTCGAGCCAATGCATCTGGGGTCCATGAAATACTGTCACCTAATGCCGAGAATGAACGTTTCTGCAAGGCAAGATTTGGGGTGATGTTTTATTCTTGTCACCACACTTCTCTACAGGGATCAGTTCTGCTGTTCTACTAAAATGACACATGTTCACTGCACAAAAATAAATTATTTTTAAACACACATTCCATAGCTTTCCACTCTCCTAGGATAAGAATCAAATCCAACACAGCCTGACGTGGTCCTGTCTACTCCTCCTTGGACACCTCTGTCTCGGTTGATGTTTCTCTTCCCCTGGACACTATGGGCTCAGACATCAGACCTCTCCTGGGAGATGAACCACTTCTTAGTCCAGGTAAGGAGGAAAGACAAGATAGAAAAAAGGGTCACCAGGGGACGATGTTTAACAGATTGTGTGCCCCACAGAGGGTGGTGCATTGTATGTGGAGAAACTAAGAGGGACCCTAAAAGTAAGTTTAACCGGTTATGTTTTATCAGGGAAAATCCAGGTGAGAGAAAAAGAGGCCATGGTACCACCTGTTTATTTCCAGCACTTTGTTACCCCTAACTCCTTCCTGCCATCATGGGCCCATTCCCCTACATGCCCACTGTTCCCATGGTACGCACCCAAAAATCAATTCTGTTTTTTATTTATAAGTAATAAACAACTGGAAATTGGAATTAAAAAAAATACCATGTACAAAAACATGAAAAATATGAAAGAGGGCTTCCCTGGTGGTGCAGTGGTTAAGAATCCGCCTGCCAATGCAGGGTACACGGGTTTGAGCTCTGGTCTGGGAAGATCCCACATGCCACGGAGCAACAAAGCCCGTACGCCACAACTACTGAGCCTGCGCTCCAGATCTCGTGAGCCACAACTACTGAGCCTGTGAGCCACAACTACTGAGCCCGTGTGCTGAAGCCCACACGCCTAAAGCCTGTGCTCCGCAACAAGAGAAGCCATCCCAGTGAGAAGCCCACACACCGCAACAAAGAGTACACCCTGCTCGTCACAACTAGAGAAAGCCCACACGCAGCAACAAAGACCCAATGCAGCCAAAAATAAATAAATAAAATAAATTTAAAAAAAGAATATATGTATATATATATATATATATATATATATATATAATGGTACAGCAGAAATTAACACAACTTTGTAAATCAACTATACTTCAATAAATGTATAAAAAATATATGAAATACTTAGGAATAAATCTGACAAAAGACGTAAAATGCCTGTACACAGAAAACTATAAAATACTACTGAGAAATTAAGACAAATAAATGGATCTTGTTCATGGGTTAGAAAACAATATATGTCAATTTCCCTCAAACTGATCTATGGATTCAATGCAATCTTAACAAAAATGCTAGCAGGACTTTTTTCAGATAGCAGTAAGCTGATTTTTCAATTCATATGAAAATACAAAGGATCTAGAATAGCCAAAACAACTCTGAAAATGAAGAACAAAATTGGAGGACAAATGCTACCTGATTCCAGACTTTTAATGAAGCATCCACAACAGTGTGGTGTCGGAGTATAAAGATCGACAATAGAACAACGGAAGAGAACAGAGAGCTCCAAATAACCTCACATATATATGGACAACTCTCTTTTTTTTTTTTTTGGTTGTGCTACACAGCTTGCAGGATCTCAGTTCCCCAACCAGGGATTGAACCCAGGCCACAGCAGTGAAAGTGCCAAATCCTAACCGCTAGACCATCAGGCAGCTCCCATGGACAACTGATTTTTTTGACAAAGGTACAAAGGCAGTGCAGGTGGAGAATGGATAGACTTTTCAACAAATGGTACTGGAACAACTGGACATTCACTTGTAAAAAATTAAACTTGGATCCATACCTCACACCAAAAATTAACTCAACATGAATCAAAACTTAAATGCAATACACAAAAATTTTAAATTATAAAATTTTCTTTTCAAAGAAGAAAATCTTCTGGGTTAGGCAAAGATTTCTTAGATATGACACCAAAAGCACAATCCATGAAAGAACAAATTAACAAACTGGACTTCACCAAAATTTAAAACTTCCTACTCTTCAAAAGACACTGTTAAGAGAATAAAAAGACAAGGCACAGAGTGAGAGAATAATCCATGCAAAGTATATATCTGATAAAGGACCTGTAAATAGAACATTCCTGTATTTAGAAAGGAACTCTTTTAAAATCAACAATAAGGAAAGAAAAACACAATTAAAAAATAGGCAAAGATCTGAACAGACATTCACCAGTGAAGAAATCCAGAAGGAAAACAAGCACATGAAAAGATGCTCAACATCTTTAATCATCAGGGGAATTAAAAATAAGATACCACTACACATCCATCACAGTGGCTACAATTAAAAGACTGAGCACACCAACTGTTGGCAAGGAAGTTGAGGAAATGGAACTCTCATCCTTGCTGGTGGGAATGTAAAATAGTACAACTGCTTTGGAAAGCACTTTGGCAGTTTCCTAAAAGTGTAAATAAACACCTGCCATGTAATGCAGCCATTTTATTCCTAGGTATTTCCAAGAGAAAAGGAAATGTATGGCCAAGCAAACAAAGGTTTGTACACAAGTGTTCATGGCAGCTTTATTTGTATTAACCACAAATTGGAAACAATCTAAATGTCCATTAACAGAGAATGGATAAACAAATTGTGGTATATCCATACAACAGAATACTTATCAGAAATAAAAAAGAACTGAATTATTGACACACAACATGAATGGATTGCAAAATAATTATGAGTCAAGAAAAGCAAGGCAAAAAAAGAAATACATGCTCCATGATGTCAATTATATAAAACTCTAGAAAATGTAATCTATAGTGACAGTAAGAAGATCAGTAATTGCTTCAGGATAGAGGTGGGAAGCGGTGAGAGGGAGGGATTACAAAGAGACATGAGAAAACTTTTGGGGGTAATGAATATGTTTGCTATCTCTACCATAGTGGACAGTTTCATAGGTGCATACATACGCAAAAATGTTACCAAATTGTACATTTAAACATGTACAGCAGGGACTTCCTTGGTGGCGCAGTGGTTAAGAATCTGCTTGCCAATGCAGGGGACAGAGGTTCGATCCCTCGTCCAGGAAGATCCCATGCTGCGGAGCAACTGAGCCCGCGTGCCACAACTACTGAAGCCCGTGCACCTAGAGGCTGTGCTCCACAACAAGAGAAGCCACTGCAACGAGAAGCCTGTGCACTGAGACGAAGAGTAGTAGTCCCTGTTCGCTGCAACTAGAGAAAGCCCGCTCGCAGCAATGAAGACCCAAAGCAGCCAAAAATAAATAAGATAAATTTATTTTTAAAAAAGTTTAAAAAATATGCATAGCATATTATATGCTAATTATACCTTTAAAAAGAAAAAAAAAAGGCGCGTGGTAGGGAGCCAGTCCACCTGAGATCCAACTCACCTCTGTCCCTGGCTGGCTGTGTGACCTCGGGCTAGCAACTGAACCTCTCTGTGCCTCATTTTCCTGAGCACCAACTCTGCAGGGATGCTGGAGGATTGTGTAAGTTCACTGTGCCAGCACAGTGCTAGGAATGCACAACAGGCCAGGCAATGTTAGTTGCCATGCAGCAAAGAGCACAGGAACTCTGCTCCGCTTACTATGTACATGCCCAAATCCTTCGCCACACAAGAAGCAGCCCTAAGTCACGCGTTTCTCCGAAGCCCAGAATCAGCCTGGGAACTCTGAGTGAACAGCAGGGGTGAGAGTCTGGGCAGGATGGCAAGCCTCCAGGTGGACTCTCCAAGTGGTGTCTCCAGCAGCCAAGGCAGAGCTGGCCAGCAAGGCTTGAGGACTGGGTGACATGGAAACGACTGAGAGGCAGGCAGGGTAGGGAGGCAGCTGCTAGGGAGACACCCGAGCTCTTTTCAGGAACTGAAAGAGCATCTTCTAGGGTAAGGTAAACATGACCCCATTCAGGGGCACAGAATAGGGGCCATTAATAGCAAAAAAGAGAAAGAAGGTGGAGAAGGAAAGCAAAGCTCTGGTGGTGACGCAATCTGGCCCAGTGAAGTGGTGGCACCTGCCAGCAGGGGCACGAGAACGTGGGGGTGTTCCTGCAGACTCACCTGCACGCCTGCGTCTCCAAATCCAGCTCCCCTCAATTCTTGGTGAGTGTGGGGCCCATGGCTCTTCCCCCTGCTCCAGCTTGGAGATGACATCAGGTTTGGAACCTTGAAGTCCTGCTCCAGAGAAAGAAAGCAAGACTGACAACTCATCCAGGTCCAGGGCAGGATGGCCCCATGGGCAGCGTCTGTGTGCTGTCATGACCTTGTCTGCCACCTGGTCTCCAAAGCATGGACACGGAAGTAGGCCTCTGTCCCAGCTGAAGAAAAGTCAAACCCAGCTCTTCTGGGGGTCACAGTTAAGGGACAGACTTGGGGCCTGAACACATCATGGCAGAAGACTCATGGTAGAGGAGGTGTTGATGTACAGCAGACTAAGTATAAGGCAGGTATAAAGCAGGGCTCTGAAGCTAAATGGATGCAAATCCCAGATCTGCCCTGATAGCCTGTGTGAACTTAATGAAGTGATATTTGTCAGCCTCAGGTTCACCTATAAACTATGTATCCTACCACCAACCTCGAAGATGCATGAAGATTAACTGAGGGGATATGAATATACTTGGCGTTCAATGAATAATGTTCTCCCATACTTCCTACAAAGAACTTGGGGGAGTCCCTGGCACCACCTGTCCCCTCCTCTGCCCAGACCAGGCCTGCCTGGGCCCAGGGTCACAAATGCCCCATGTCTGGGCCCAGGGGGTGAGAAGCCTCTGAGCCTTGAGCCCAGCCCCAGTCCCAGTTCCCAGAGCCATTCATGGAGCAGGAAGCCCAGAGCTGAGCTCCTGGGAAGAGCCTCACCCAGCGAGACCAGGTTCCCATAGGTTTCCAGCATCACATCCCTGTAGAGCCTCTTCTGAGCAGGGCCCAGATGGCCCCACTCCTCTTGGGAAAGGAGCACGGCCACTTCCTCGAAGGAAACCAAGACCTGGAATGACAAGATCTTGTTGCAACCCCAGGACGGGCCTGGGGGTAGGGAGGCACTAGGCTCAGGATGGGCAAAACCCCTCTGAGCACATGCACCAGACTGCCTTCCCCACAAGAGTGGGCTCTTTGGGGCAGACACCATTCTGACTCGTGTTTACCTGCCCATTCCTTGCCCTCCTCTGTGCCCAGTCCAGGGGTGAGATGACACAGTCCAGAGTGCATTTCAGGGACTTGAACCCAAGGGTTGAGGACATCAATGAAGACAGGGAGCCAACTACCCTGAGACCAGTGCCTCAGAGGGAACCGTGGAGACTCCAGCCAGGAAAGGGCTGAGGCGTCTCCACGAAGACCACTCACCTGGGGCCCAGGAAAAAGCTGCCTGTGGGCCATCACTGGGTGTCCAAGCTTGTCCCAAGGAGGCAGGCAGAGCTGTAGCAAAAGGGAAGAGTGTGATGGAGCCTGACCCGCCTTCTGCTCCCCACAGCAACTTGAGACTTCCGCGCCTGTACCTCAAGAGGTCTGTGGCAGCAGAGACCCAGTTGTAGGCTACTTGAAATCCCCAGGAAGGAACAATGGTCTCAGCACCCAGTGGCCTGAGACTACATATTCCCTTGCCCCCCAGGAAGCGTCCCCAGCAGCCCGTAGTACGACAGCATAACAAGGCCACACGCGAAAGCCAGGTCCCCGGCGGTGCACCTGACAAGGGGAGACGACGGTCTGCATCTCAGGCCCACCCAGGAGAATCCTGGGCAGCGGGCAAACAGCTGAGGACAAGAAGAACAAGCTCCTACTCTACAGCAGTGCACAAGCCGTAGGGAAGGTGACAGACATGATGCTTGTGTCGGGGATAAGGAAGAGAAACAACACGCAGCACGAGGGCAGCAACTGTTGGGAGGAGATATTTTACGAAAGGCAGCCAGGGAAGGCACCTCTGATAAAGTAACATCAAAACAGATATGGACGGAGTGAGGGCCGGCACTAAGTAGGTATCAGGGGAGATACATCCCGGGCAGGGGGAGGCGCAAGTGCAAAGGTTGCAAGGTGCAAGCATACTTGACGTGTTCAAGGAAGGGCAAGGAGGCCAGAGGGGCTGAAGCAGAGTAGGGGAGGGCAAGACAGAGGGGGGTGGGGTAACTTTTGGGCTACAGGATTTAGGCTTTTATTCTGAATGAGATTAGGAGCATCTGGAAGGTCTGGGCAGAGTGATATGACTTGACATGCGGCTGCTCCGGCTGCTGCTTTGAAAATGGACTAGGGGGCAGGGAGGAGGGTGTAAGGGTAGAAGCAGGAAAACCAACCGGAAGGTCCCAGCAATAACACAGCTAGAGACGATAGTGTCTTGGACCAGATGGTGGTAGCAGGTGATAAGCAGTCAGATTGCAGATACCTTTCAAAGGTACAGTCAATAGGATTTGCTGACAAATTAGATGTGGGATGAAACACCAAGATGTTTGGCCCAAACACCTGAGATGATGAAATCTCCAATTACCCAGGAAGACTGTAGAAGTATATCTGAAGGATAAAAATTAAAAGTTGTCTTGTACATGTTATGTTCAAGATGCCTATCAGACCTACAAGTGGAGAATGAGGGCATTTTGATCCACAAGTCCAAATTTCAGGAGAGAGGCTGAAGCTGGCTGGGTATACACTGGTAACTGTCAGCATACATATGACATTTAGAACCACAGATCTGGTGATAATTTAGGGTGACAGGTGACACGGGGTGCCACTCCCATGAAAACCTTTCCAACTGGCCTCTGATACACAGTCAGCCTCTGCCCCCACAGCCTGCTCCATGCAAACAGACCCCTTAATTCAGGTGGAAATGTGCCCGCTTTCCTTGGCCCCAGCTACTTTGGCCCTAGGCCCATCTTCTGGTCAACAAGATGTTAAGGGAAGTTTTCAAAAAGGCTTCTAGAAAAGGCTTTTCCTCCCTGATGATAAAAAAGAAACAGGGAGAAACACTTCTGTCTAGTGTGACCATGAGGGTAAAACCCAGGGAACCTCAGAGACACAACCCAGAACAAACCCTGCCTGCCCCGCCTTCGTCACTTAAGCCTCTGTTGGGCTCTGACAGCTGAACCCAAGCTTATTAATGCCCAGTTCATTTCTCTTGGGCCATCCCGGAATCTCCTCCTCAGGCCACCCAGGCCAGAGGCAGCCTCTCGGTCCTCAGCCAGGGCTTGCCTTTGACAGGTCCCTGGTGCTCACGCCCTTTGTGTGCTGTGCACAAGTGGTCCTTCCAAGTGCACTCTGCCTCCCCTTTCAGCCTCATGTGGGAGGCACGTAACACTCCTGTAAGAAGCATAGGCCCTGGGCTCCACCAGACTGAGTTCCAATCTCAGATACACCACCTCCTAACGAAGGGTCTCCAGTAAGTGACGTGTTTCTCCACAGACCATAAAATGAGAACATCACCACTTACCTTAAGTGACTATTTTGAGTTAAGTGAGAAAAATGTATAAAGTGCTTCGCATAGTGTTCGCAAACCACAAACAAAACCCAGTAAATCTTAATCATCACCAAGGCAGTGTGTACTGGGCGCCCACCGAGCGAATGAATGGGCCCTGGGATTGTTCAGCGCCGGGATGTGCACCAACGTCCCCTCGCTGCACAGCCTTCGCGACTTCATCCTTTCACTGAACCTACCCCTAATGAGTGAAAGGTACTCTCTCTCATCTGAGAAAAAGCACAGGTTCGGTGCATCCCCAGACCGTGCCTAAACTTCGCCTCCTCCGTGAAGCCTGGCTCTTGCCCGCCGCCCCGCCTCCGCGCCGGGGTAGCCCGGACCCCACCCCCGCGCGGGTTTCCGCCCGGCCCGCCCCTCAGGCCGCACGAACAGGCGCTCCCTCGGCTGGGCCAGCCCCGCGCCGTCCTGCCTGTCGCAGCGCCGCAGGCACCTCCACGCGAGGGGAGGCTAAGACTCCCTCGGCTCCGCCGAGAAAGGTAGACGTACCCCACACAACAGGCCGGCGAAGGTTAACCCGCCAGGCCGGAAACGCCCGCTAGGAACTTCCGCCCCGTCGCCAGCTTACCGGCCAATCAGATCCTAGGGTTCTGTCGGGTCGCTCTAGGCGGCTCAGAGGACTCTATGCCACTGGCCCCACTTGTCTTGGGAGAGGCTTTAGAAGTTCGTCAGAGAATTAGGAAGTGACACAAGAAACTCGGATCTACCCAGAGAAGGGAAAAGGATCAGAGAGGGAATAAGTGAAGGTAAAATAAAATCTTTTACTTGTCTTACTCCTAAGCAAAATAAAAGGTCATTGTTTTTCAGAGTAATATTGAATATTAGTGACAGTGTATTGGGTAACTGTCGCACGTGTAAGGTGAGTGGCAGCGGTGTCCTAGGGACGGAAGAGAGGAATCGGGACACTGGGTTACAAGTACCTGTGCTACCCGTGAGGCGGTGTAGTGTTATTTGAAGGTGGACTTACATTAGTCCTAATATATATTGCAAACTTCTAAGACAACCATTAAAATTTTTTTGAAGTATAATTGATATGCTAAATAGGAGAAAAAAATCTAATCAGATAAAATGCTCAATTAAACCGGAGAAGGCAGGAGAAGAGGGAAAGATTTTTTAAAAGAAACAAGTGTAATGAATAAAAAACAGTAACAACCATATTAATACTCACTTTAAAAGTGAATGGTCTAGGGCTTCCCTGGTGGCGCAGTGGTTGGGAGTCCGCCTGCCAATGCAGGGGACGCGGGTTCACGCCCTGGGCTGGGAGGATCCCACATGCCGCGGAGCGACTGGGCTGGTGAGCCACGATTACTGAGCCTGTGCGTCTGGAGCCTGTGCTCCGCAAAAAGAGAGGCCGCGGTAGTGAGAGGCCCGCGCACCGCGATGAAGAGTGGCCCCCGTTTGCCACAACTAAAGAAAGCCCTCGCACAGAAACGAAGACCCAACACAGCCATAAATAAATAAATTTAAAAAGTGAATGGTTTAGATACACCAATTAAAAGACTGAACTGTCAAAGCAGGTAAAAAAAAATAAGACATATAACATATAATTATATATTGTCCATAAGAAGCCCATTTTAAACACGAAGACACAGATAGATTAAAAATAAAGGGAGGAGAAAGGCATACCATGCTAACACTAATGGAAAGAAAGTTGGAGTATCTATATCGATTTCAGACAAAGCTGACTTCAGAGCAAGTAAAATTATCAGGGACAAAAAGGGGTATTAAATATGATAAAGGGATCAAGTCTATAAGAAAACACAAGGATCCTTACCGTGTATGCACCTAACAACAGAGCATCAAAATACATGAGACAGAAACTGATAGCACAGCACATTTTTCCAACAGCATTTGCCCACTTCATGTCTTGGTATCATATTTTTGTAATTCTCGCAATATTTCACACCTATCATTATTATATTTGTTATGGTGATCTGCAATCAGTGATATTTGATGTTTTGACTATGACTTGCTGAAGACTCATATGATGGTTGGCAATTTTTTTTTTTTTTTTTTTCGGTACGCGGGCCTCTCACTGTTGTGGCCTCTCCCGTTGCGGAGCTCCAGACGCGCAGGCTCAGCGGCCATGGCTCACGGGCCCAGCCGCTCCGTGGCATGTGGGATCCTCCCGGACCGGGGCGTGAACCCGTGTCCCCTGCATCGGCAGGCGGACTCTCAACCACTGCGCCACCAGGGAAGCCCAATGGTTGGCATTTTTTAGCAATATTTTTTATTAACGTATGCACATTGTTTTTTAGACATAATGCTATTGCACACTTAACAGACTATATTGCAGTGTAAACATACTGTTATATTCTGGAAAACCAAAAAAATTCGTGTGACTTTTATTGCAACATCCACTTTATTGCAGTAGTCTGGAACCGAACCTGCCGTATCTCTGAGGTGTGCCTGTATATTAACTGCCACACTTTTTGTATTTTTATGCTTTTTCTTGGGGATTTCACTGTTTAAAATGGCCCTCAAGCATAGTGCTGAAGTGCTGTCTAATGTCCCTAAGTGCAAGAGGGCTGTGATGTGATGCCTTTATAGAGGAAGCGTGCTAGATGAACTTCATTCAGCACAAGCCATAGTGCTGTTGGCTGATTTCAGTGTTTATGAATCAACAGTATATATTAAATAAGGTATCTTTAAGCAGAAACACACATAAAACAAGGTTATGTATTGATTGGTTGATGAAAATGTCGTGACCAGAGGCTCCGAGGAAGCTAACTCTATTTCCCCTAGGAGCAACGGTTTGTTATTCCCTAATTCAGTGTTCTCAGCTACTTTAGAGAACTACCATGGATGATGAGAATTGGCTGTATGTAAATATTTATATTTGCACATATGAAATTTATAGTATATTTTCTAAACAGGCCAGGGGAGTAGGCCAAGGAAAGACTGTGTCAGTGGAGACTAGTGTGTCTCAAGAGACAGAAAGCAGCCATGATGGTTGAGAGTGAAATGCTAGGCATGATTCCTGCAGTGGCTGTGGAGGTGCAGACAGCCAGGCACAGCTAGATGAAGACTTGCTGTTCATTTTATGAGCCTTTATTACATGCCAGGGTGGGAGGCAATGTAGAGGAGATTTGGGGACTTAGAGACATGGAGGACTAGATTGTCTATGCTTTCCTCTCTAGAGCTCTTCAAGGACCTACTGTCTGAGTCTGGGGGTTTGAACAGGTGCTAGTACTGTCAGGGAAGAAAAATGAGGTGCCTGGCTGGGCAGAGGGCCGTGGGGGCTGTAGGGGCCTGTAAGGAGAGGTGGGGGGTGAGGCTCGGAAGGCTGGCAGATCAGCAGGGCCAGAGCAGAGTGAGGTCTGGAAATAGTTGCCTCTGTATGACTTATGGGGCATGTGCTGGCTGGAAGTAAGGAGCTTGGACTTTATGCTGGAGGAAATAGAAGATTTCTAGGCAGGAGAGCAACACAGTTTTCTGTTTTAGAAAGACCACTCTCACCACAGGGTGGTTCAAAAAAGACAGGAGAGAGTGAAAGTGCAGGCAGAGAGATGAGTGAGGACTCGATTGCAGTTCAGGCCAGAGATGGTGTGTGTTGGGGGGGGGGGGTGGGTAGGGGTGGAGATTACTTAGGAGATAAACTGATTGGATTCAGTGGCTGACTGGGAATAGAGGCTGTGGAAGGGGAAGCATCTGGCGTGAGGCCTGTGCTCAGGCACACATGTCTGGGCTGAGAAGTCTTCTGTAGGAAGCAGTTTTGGGCCAAGTCATAGAGGGTTTCACAGCCAAAGGAGGCAGGGAGAGGCCCCTTAGGGTCTGGAGTCCACTCACCACCAAAACCTCAGTCTCCCAGGACTGAAATACATCCTAACTGTGGTTGTTTTAAAATATGTCTAAAAAGTCTTTGGTCTTCCTCCAAAAGGTGAAGCAGCCTCAAAGAGAGCCTGAGCTAGAACGAACCAGCTATGCTTTTGCTAGGTTCCTGACCCTCAGAAACTATGAGATAAAGAATGATTGTTGTTTTCAATCTGATAAGTTTTGTGGTAATTTGTTACACCACAGTAAATAGCTAATATATTAGCTATTTGGGTTGGCCAAAAAGTTCATTTGCTTTTTTCTGTAAGATGGCTATAGTAGTGCTTAGTTGTCTTTAACTTCATTGGAAACAATTTTGTTAGATTGTATTGCAACAGCAGTCATATCAGCATACACTTAAAAAAACTTATCAAAATTGGTGAATTTTTGTGTAGCCATTTTATTTTACTTTAAAAATTTTTTTTAAATAAATTTATTTATTTAGGTTTTTTTGTGGCTGCGTTGGGTCTTCGTTGCTGTGCGTGGGCCTTCTCTAGTTGCGGCAAGTGGGAGCTACTCTTTGTTGTGGTGCGTGGGCTTCTAATTGCGGTGGCTTCTCTTGTTGTGGAGCACGGGCTCTAGGTGAGTGGGCTTCAGTAGCTGTGGCACACAGGCTCAGTAGTTGTGGCTCGCGGGCTCTAGAGCGCAGGCTCAGTAGTTGTGGTGCACAGGATTAGTTGCTCCGCGGCATGTGGGATCTTCCCGGACCAGGTCTTGAACCCGTGTCCCCTGCACTGGCCAGCGGATTCTTAACGACTGAGCCACCAGGGATGTCCCTGTGTAGCCATTTTAATATTGGAGAAGAAAGAAAACCCCCAACATTTTCAGCATATTATGCTTTATTATTTCAAGGAAGGTAAAAACGCAACTGAAACACACACAAAAAATTGTGCAGTGTATGGAGAAGGTGCTGTGACGGATCGAACGTGTCCAAAGTGGTTTGCGAAGTTTTGTGCTGGAGATTTCTCGCTGGACGATGCTCCATGGTTGGGTAGACCAGTTGAAGTTGATAGCAATCAAACAGAGAACATTAATTGAGAACAATCAACGTTATACCACACGGGAGAGAGCCGACATACTCAAAATATCCAAATCAAGCGTTGAAAATCATTGGCACCAGCTTGGTTCTGTTCATCGCTTTGATGTTTGGCTTCCACAAGAAGTTACGCCGGAGAAGCCTTCTTGACCGTATTTCTGCGTGTGATTCTCTACTTGAACATAATGAAAACGTTCCATTTTTAAAACAAATTGTGATGGGTGATGCAACGTGGATACTGTACAATAATGTGGAACGGAAGAGGTCGTGGGGCAAGTGAAATGAACCACCACCAACCACACTGAAGGCTAGGCTTCATCTAAAGAAGGTGATGTTGTGTATATGGTGGGATTAGAAGGGAGTCCTCTATTATGAGCTCCTTCTGGAAAATCGAACGAGTAATTCCAACAAGTACTGCTCCCAATTAGACCAAATGAAAGCAGCACTCATCGAAAAGCGTCTGGAATTAGTCAACAGAAAACACATAATCTTCCATCAGGATACCACAAGACTGCATGTTTCTTTGATGACCAGGCAAAAACCGTTACAACTTGGCTGGGAAGTTCTGATTCATCTCCCGTATTCACCAGACATTGCACCTTTGGATTTCCATTTATTTCAGTCTTTACAAAATTCTCTTGATGGAAAAAACTTCCATTCCCAGAAGACTGTAAAAGGCACCTGGAATAGTTCTTTGCTCAAAAAGATAAGAATTTTGGGGAAGACGGAATTATGAAGTTGCCTGAAAAATGGCAGGAGGTAGTGGAACAAAACGGTGAATACGTTGTTCAATAAAGTTCTTGGTGAAGATGAAAAATATGTCTTTTGTTTTTACTTAAAAACCTAAGGAACTTTTTCACCAACCCGGGACTAACTACTGGGATGACCAAACTCTACCTTCTGAGACCTCCCATCCCCTCGCCTCAGGAAACAACGCCGATTTCACTGACAGGAATCATCGGACAGCAGCACCTCAGACTCCTGTCCTCTCAAGCAGCACCACGGCACCCGGGTCCTCCTGACGCCTGTGATGCGGGGCCAGGAGCGGCGCGTGGTGGTGGGGCGGCCCTGGGCAGGGAGCGCAGAAGGGCAGGTAGATGGTGCCCACGTCGGGACGCCAGCAGGTGCGCGGGGTCTTCCTGTTTCTGAATCCCCTCCAGGTCCTCCCCTCCCCTCCCCCAGCCCCTCTGGGCCCTCACCACACAGCAGCATCTGGGTAAGGCCGCGTCACTCCTCGGATGGATGAACGTCCCCCAGTGCTTCCACTGCGCTTACAACAGAAGCCGCCTCCCGCTGCGGTCCAGGGCCCTGCAACTCCCCCACCTCGCCTTGCACCTCGGCCCCGCCCTCCTTTCCGCTGCCGGACCAGCCCCTCCAGGGCTGCTACTCCTCGCAGGACTTTGCTGATCACCCGGCGCCCCGCTGGGGCCGCTGTTATTCACAGCGCCGCTCTGGGTGACAGCTTTTCATGTCTGTTTACCTGCTTTTCCCTCCCCACTAGCAGGTGAGCTTTAAGGGCACATTCCCTTGTGTAGGCGTAGCCCTTTCATCCAGAGCAGTACCTGCAACATTGTCAGTGTTGGGGAGGTCTCCTGCAGACCGCGCTCCGAACGGCCCGGGCCCCGCCCGCCGCGCCCCGCCCACCGCGCTCCGAAAGGCCCGGGCCCGCCCAACGCGCCGCCAGCGCCCTGCGGAACTCTGCTACGCAGACGTGTTTCGCGGGGAGCGAATTCGGCGTCGGTCCTGAAGCCCTCCTCAGGGTCTGGCTGCGGCTGCAGCGCATGGCGGTGAGTGCTACGGTGAGGGCGCACCGGTGTCGGGGCCCTGGGCCCTTGGTGGCTCCTCGTGACCTTCGTACTGTCCCCCTTTCTCCAGGCTCTAGGACATCCTGCTCGGGAGACATCGGCAGCCCCAGGTACTGCCCGCGCACCCCCGCAGCCCCCGGTTCCCCCCGCCGCTTCCCGGCGCCCCGAGTCCTTCCACTGTAAGGCCCCATCAAGTCTGTCTGCTTAGGGCACCCTACGTGCAGTGACGCTGCCTCCAGGGCCAAGAAACAAAAGAAGAAGAAGAAAACCCGGAATGGGGCCTCTGCGGCGAATGGAGGCGGGAAAGCCACAGAAACGCCGGCCTCAGAGGAAGCCCCCCTAAGTGCGGAGGCCCAGGCAAGGGCGGGCCTTAGTCGGGAAGGGTGGAGCCTCGGGGTGCATTCTGGGTGGGAATCCGCCGGTGGGTGTAGTCTCGGATTTGCGGATTTAAAGCGGGGAGAGGATGAGACGGGGAGTTTTGTGTTCCTGTGGGATGGGGCTGGAGGCCGCGGGGTCCAGGTACCCTCTCACAGCCACTATCCCCGATCCACCACAGGCGGAGCAGCTGGTCCGGGAACTGGCCTGGTGCGTGGAAAAGCTGGAGCTGGGGCTGAAGATGCAGAGACCCACCCCTAAGCAGAGTGAGGGGCCTGTCTGTAGAGTTGCGGGGGGCGGGGGCGGGTGAACGGTGACAGTCCTGTGGCCAGCAGGTGCTCCCAAGGGGTGGAATCGTTACCTTTGCGGTAGGACAGTTGGAGGTGAGGATAGAGAAGGTTACTAGTCCTGTGTTTTCATTTGCAGAAGAGCAAGCTCTTGGGGCAATCCGAACCCTGCGCAGCCAAAGAACCCCCCTGCCCCGGAAGAGGCAGCTGATGCGCTCCTTGTTCGGGGACTACAGGGCTCAGATGGAAGCCGAGTGGTGCGTGGCCCTGCGGGCTCTCAGGACTGGTGAGGACCTGGGAACTGGTTGGTGCACACCTGCCTAGTTCAAGGGGGCGGGGAGGAAGAGCCTGGGCAGTGGAAGGAGGAAGCCCAGAGCAGTAGGGCTGGCGGGGGTAGAAGATGGCTCAGGAAAGCGTCAGGGAGCAGGGAGAGAGAAAGCCTGGATCTCAGGAACACAGAACTTGGGCTTGGACCAGGGAGGCAGGGGCAGGAGAGTTAGTGAATCTCTCTGTGATTCTCAAAGGGGTGTGATACCTTATAATTTTGAGAAGTAAGTCAGTTAATTTTTACAATGGGGATAGAGTTGTATGGGCACAGTTAGCATTAGCCATTATCATTCAATTCTGATACAGTCTCTCCCCTCCCTTACAGCTGCCCACTCAGTCCAGGTGCAGCCTGTAGGTGAGGCCGCCAGAAAGAAGAGCCGAAGGGTCTGCAGGCCTCGTCTAACAGGGAGAGCCAAGGACACCCTAGACACTCCTGATGAAGAGTTTAGGTTCAATTTCTTTTAGCCTCTTCCCCATTCTGGAATGGTCCTCCTCTGCAGTTGGTGCAGGGGTTTGTCTTGAGTGCAGAGCTTTCCAGGAATGCTCTGTCAGACAGATGTGGGGTTGCTCTGTCCCTGGCTGGTCAGTGAATCTGGTGCCATGGCTGTTGGGAAGATGCAAGACCTGCATGTTGGGTACTGACCTGACTGTCAGACAAGCCCAGGACCCCGTTTATAGGTTTTCAGCTGAAATGTCTCTCCTGCCAGAAGAGGGAGGTCCATTCAGAAGTTTATGCAGTAAACTGAAGTGAGTGTTTAGCATGTTGTAGAAGGACTCTTTTAACAGGCTTAGGAGCAGACTAAGTAGATGTTGGTAATAAGGATTAGTAGGGAAGCGACATAGTTATGCACTGGTGCTCACTTATGGGAGGATGTTCTGTCAGGTGGTGTAGAGCTCCATGCCATTGTGTCTTATTGCCATAATAAAAGTATTCCTCACAAAAGTGGAAGAGTGAAAGCGTGTGTTAACTGTCTATATAGATGAGGTGGTGTGTGGCACTGCTGGGTCCAGGCTCTCACCCCAGTGCTTGGTCTTTTGTCTGTATTGCCTTCATTCCTGAGCAGGTAGCATCCTTGGGGAGCCATCGTAGCCCCCAGCAGCCCAGGCTTTGTTCTGAGGAGCAGATAGCTTCCTGCCCTAAGAATCCCAGCCAGACACCAGCATTGAGCCTCAGTGGACAAGCTCTGATGTCAGCTGCTCCAGGTGATAGTCCCAGGCCTTCTGCATTAAGTTGGGTTTTCAAGGGGGCTTAATCCTCTTCAGTGGTTGTGGTGCCATCTTTGGTGGTGTCTCCCAAACTTGCAGACCAGACTAGATAGATACCTGGAGCCCACCTGCCTACTCAACATCTCTTATTTTGCTGTTTCACAGGCATTTCAAACTTGACATGTCCAAAACATCCAATTAGTCCCTAAATCTCCATTTGTTTTCTGCTTTTCAGTGAATGGCACTACTGCCCAACTAGTTGATCAGGCCAAAAATCTGTGTCACCTCTGCAAAAGGGGTTCGTGGATCCAGTTCCAATGTGTGTGTGTGTGTTTGTGTTGACGGTTCCCGACACCAACAGCAATTCTTGGATGTCAGCAGCGTGTCCAAGAATGCAACTCAATTCTGACACTGTCTACCCAGAGATGGAATCAGATTCCACAGGAAAAGCGCTCAGTCCCACAAGACCCCCCCTCCACTTCACATGCCAGTCACGAGTCCTATAGTTGTTCCCTATACTTCTGACCAACTGGCTATAAATCAGGTTCCTGTGACCCCCTTCTTTTTTTTTTTTTTTTTTTTTTACATCTTTATTGGAGTATAATTGCTTTACAATGGTTTGTTAGTTTCTGGTTTATAACAAAGTGAATCAGTTGTACATATATATATATGTTCCCATATCTCTTCCCTCTTGCATCTCCCTCCCTCCCCCCCTCCCTATCCCCCCCCCCTAGGTGGTCACAAAGCACCGAGCTGATCTCCCTGTGCTATGCGGCTGCTTCCCACTAGCTGTCTATTTTACGTTTGGTAGTTATATATGTCCATGCTACTCTCTCACTTTGTCACAGCTTACCCTTCCCCCTCCCCATATTCTCAAGTCCATTCTCTAGTAGGTCTGTGTCTTTATTCCTGTCTTACCCCTAGGTTCTTCATGAGTTTTTTTTTTTCCTTAAATTCCATATATATGTGTCAGCATACGGTATTTGTCTTTCTCTTTCTGACTTAATTCACTCTGTATGACAGACTCTAGGTCCATCCACCTCATTACAAATAGCTCAGTTTCGTTTCTTTTTATGGTTGAGTAATATTCCATTGTATATATGTGCCACATCTTCTTTATCCATTCATCCGATGATGGATACTTAGGTTGTTTCCATCTCCTGGCTATTGTAAATAGAGCTGCAATGAACATTTTGGTACATGACTCTTTGAATTATGGTTTTCTCAGGGTATATGCCCAGTAGTGGGATTGCTGGGTCATATGGTAGTTCTATTTGTATTTTTTTAAGGAACCTCCATACTGTTCTCCATAGTGGCTGTACCAATTCACATTCCCACCAGCAGTGCAAGAGTGTTCCCTTTTCTCCACACCCTCTCTAGCATTTATTGTTTCTAGATTTTTTGATGATGGCCATTCTGACTGGTGTGAGATGATATCTCATTGTAGTTTTGATTTGCATTTCTCTAATGATTAATGATGTTGAGCATTCTTTCATGTGTTTGTTGGCAGTCTGTATATCTTCTTTGGAGAAATGTCTATTTAGGTCTTCTGCCCATTTTTGGATTGAGTTGTTTGTTCTTTTGTTATTGAGCTGCATGAGCTGCTTGTAAATTTTGGAGATTAATCCTTTGTCAGTTGCTTCATTTGCAAATACTTTCTCCCATTCTGAGGGTTGTCTTTTCATCTTGTTTATGGTTTCCTTTGCTGTGCAAAAGCTTTGAAGTTTCATTAGGTCCCATTTGTTTATTTTTGTTTTTATTTCCATTTCTCTAGGAGGTGGGTCAAAAAGGATCTTGCTGTGATTCTGCCTGTGTTTTCCTCTAAGAGTTTGATAGTTTCTGGCCTTACATTTAGGTCTTTAATCCATTTTGAGCTTATTTTTGTGTATGGTGTTAGGGAGTGATCTAATCTCATACTTTTACATGTACCTGTCCAGTTTTCCCAGCACCACTTATTGAAGAGGCTGTCCTTTCTCCACTGTACATTCCTGCCTCCTTTATCAAAGATAAGGTGACCATATGTGCCTGGGTTTATCTCTGGGCTTTCTATCCTGTTCCGTTGATCTATCTTTCTGTTTTTGTGCCAGTACCATACTGTCTTGATTACTGTAGCTTTGTAGTATAGTCTGAAGTCAGGGAGCCTGATTCCTCCAGCTCTGTTTTTCGTTCTCAAGATTGCTTTGGCTATTCGGGGTCTTTTGTGTTTCCATACAAATTGTGAAATTTTTTGTTCTAGTTCTGTGAAAAATGCCAGTGGTAGTTTGATAGGGATTGCATTGAATCTGTAGATTGCTTTGGGTAGTAGAGTCATTTTCACAATGATGATTCTTCCAATCCAAGAACATGGTATATCTCTCTATCTATTTGTATCATCTTTAATTTCTTTCATCAGTGTCTTATAATTTTCTGCATAGAGGTCTTTTGTCTCCTTAGGTAGGTTTATTCCTAGCTATTTTATTCTTTTTGTTGCAATGGTAAATGGGAGTGTTTTCTTGATTTCACTTTCAGATTTTTCATCATTAATGTATAGGAATGCCAGAGATTTCTGTGCATTAATTTTGTATCCTGCTACTTTACCAAATTCATTGATTGGCTCTAGTAGTTTTCTGGTAGCATCTTTAGGATTCTCTATGTATAGTATCATGTCATCTGCAAACAGTGACAGCTTTACTCCTTCTTTTCCGATTTGGATTCCTTTTATTTCCTTTTCTTCTCTGATTGCTGTGGCTAAAACTTCCAAAACTATGTTGAATAAGAGTGGTGAGAGTGGGCAACCTTGTCTTGTTCCTGATCTTAGTGGAAATGCTTTCAGTTTTTCACCGTTGAGGACGATGTTGGCTGTGGGTTTGTCATATATGGCCTTTATTATGTTGAGGAAATTTCCCTCTATGCCTACTTTTTGGAGGGTTTTTATCATAAATGGGTGTTGAATTTTGTTGAAAGCTTTCTCTGCATCTATTGAGATGACCATATGGTTTTTCTCCTTCAATTTGTTAATATGGTTTATCACATTGATTGATTTGCATATATTGAAGAATCCTTGCATTCCTGGAATAAACCCCACTTGATCATGGTGTATGATCCTTTTAATGTGCTGTTGGATTCTGTTTGCTAGTATTTTGTTGAGGATTTTTGCATCTATGTTCATCAGTGATATTGGCCTGTAGTTTTCTTTCTTTGTGACATCCTTGTCTGGTTTTGGTATCAGGGTGATGGTGGCCTTGTAGAATGAGTTTGGGAGTGTTCCTCCCTCTGCTGTATTTTGGAAGAGTTTGAGAAGGATAGGTGTTAGCTCTTCTCTAAATGTTTGATAGAATTCGCCTGTGAAGCCATCTGGTCCTGGGCTTTTGTTTGTCGGAAGATTTTGAATCACAGTTTCAATTTCAGTGCTTGTGATTGGTCTGTTCATATTTTCTATTTCTTCCGGATTCAGTCTTGGCAGGTTGTGCATTTCTAAGAATTTGTGCATTTCTTCCAGGTTGTCCATTTTATTGGCATAGAGTTGCTTGTAGTAATCTCTCATGATCTTTTGTATTTCTGCAGTGTCAGTTGTTACTTCTCCCTTTTCATTTCTAATTCTATTGATTTGAGTCTTCTCCCTTTTTTTCTTGATGAGTCTGGCTAATGGTTTATCAATTTTGTTTATCTTCTCAAAGAACCAGCTTTTATTTTTATTGATCTTTGCTATTGTTTCCTTCATTTCTTTTTCATTTATTTCTGATCTGATTTTTATGATTTCTTTCCTTCTGCTAACTTTGGGGTTTTTTTGTTCTTCTTTCTCTAATTGCTTTAGGTGCAAGGTTAAGTTGTTTATTTGAGATGTTTCCTGTTTCTTAAGGTAGGATTGTATTGCTATAAACTTCCCTCTTAGAACTGCTTTTGCTGCATCCTATAGGTTTTGGGTCGTCATGTCTCCATTGTCATTTGTTTCTAGGTATTTTTTGATTTCCTCTTTGATTTCTTCAGTGATCACTTCGTTACTAAGTAGTATATTGTTTAGCCTCCATATGTTTGTATTTTTTACAGATCTTTTCCTGTAATTGATATCTAGTCTTATAGTGTTGTTGTCGGAAAAGATACTTGATACGATTTCAATTTTCTTAAATTTACCAAGGCTTGATTTGTGACCCAAGATATGATCTATCCTGGAGAATGTTCCATGAGCACTTGAGAAAAACGTGTATTCTGTTGTTTTTGGATGGAATGTCCTATAAATATCAATTAAGTCCATCTTGTTTAATGTATCACTTAAAGCTTGTGTTTCCTTATTTATTTTCATTTTGGATGATCTGTCCATGGGTGAACGTGGGGTGTTAAAGTCCCCTACTATGAATGTGTTACTGTCGATTTCCCCTTTTATGGCTGTTAGTATTTGCCTTATGTATTGAGGTGCTCCTGTGTCGGGTGCATAAATATTTGCAATTGTTATATCTTCTTCTTGGATTGATCCATTGATCATTATGTAGTGTCCTTCTTTGTCTCTTCTAATAGTCTTTATTTTAAAGTCTATTTTGTCTGATATGAGAATTGCTACTCCAGTTTTCTTTTGGTTTCCATTTGCATGGAATATCTTTTTCCATCCCCTCACTTTCAGTCTATATGTGTCTCTAGGTCTGAAGCGGGTCTCTTGTAGACAGCATATATATGGGTCTTGTTTTTGTATCCATTCAGCCAGTCTATGTCTTTTGGTGGGAGCATTTAATCCATTTATATTTAAGGTAATTATTGATATGTATGTTC